ACTGACATAACATAACAATATGCCTAACTGTTCAAAGTTCGTTTAATTAAAATTTGATCGCCATTTTTCCACCCGAGCAACCTAATAATATGATACGCAACAAGTTAATCGTTTATTTGCAAAGCGCACGACATACGCCTGCGCAAGTGAGTTGGCGTGCTAGACGTTAACGATAATTGTAATGAAGGGCGCGAAAGGAGATGCTCAGAACAACTTGTTTTGTTTTATAAAACCTGTCTTTTATATTTTCATATAAAACAACTTCGGATATGTACTCGTTTCTATTCAATTAAATTATTGTCATAAAGATTTTAGAGAAAGACAGAAAGTTATTCATAGTAGCTAAATCGTTTCTTTTAGATTATGGACTAAAAAAGGTCGTGGACAAACGAACGAAATTGTTATATTTTATTATATTCCATACTTATATGCATCGTGTGAGTAGACAGGTTAATGTTCCGACTACTTATTTCTAGATTTTCTTCATATCTACACCAATAAACTGTCTGCAGATTCCATTCTTTAGCCCGTGATTAATCAGTTCCGAGATCTTAAATATACTGAATGATGAAGGGCTCAATAAAATCCCTCCTGTATATAATCTTCACATGTATACACATACACGCATACCTTCGCTATTTATAAAACGGTGAAAGGAACGGCTTTATATGATAGTGTTGAACGAAGAATATGGATCTCATGTTAGAATAGAGCTCAGTGTACACTTTGCACGACGATACGCAAGAACGATAACATATTTTAAATTAATATTGTAACGTAAATGTTATTACTTTCAGTATGATTCGCCGTCATATGGCCGAAGTCGAGATACCGGGCGGAATTCAACCAGTACCGCTGCGGAACGGCCGACAACAGTCACAGCGAAGTACCTCAACACAACACCTTCTTACAAGTCTTCGAGCATCCCCATATTGTGCCCGGAACGATCAGCTAAAGAAGAAACACCAATTTCAGCTATAGCTAACCGATACGCAAACTACAGTAAATCAGATAAACAACCCACCAAATATGATTCTTACAACGCGAGTAAGACGGAGAAGCCCGCAACAAAATATGATGCCTACAGTACTAATAAGACAGATAAACCGACAATAAAATATGACACCTATAGTACGAGTAAAACAGAAAAACCATTGTCTAAATATGATACGTATAGCACCACAAAAAATGACAAACCAGCCTCCAAATATGATACGTACGGTACAAGTAAAACAAAAGAACCAACGTCTAAATATGAGAAAAAAGATTATTCTAAACTTACTGTTCCATCAATAACGACCAATAAAAGTAGAGACGTAAGTCCTGTTTCGACATCGAAATACAGTCTGACCCGACCTTCTCGGCACTTGAGCCCAGAACGGAGAACAACGAAATCTTTCAAAGATAAAAGCCGAGATCCCAGTCCAGGGGATCACGACAAAGACATTCCAAGTAAGACTGACAAGTCTACAGGCTATAACAGCCTGTCGAGTTACAAGTTATACCCTCGAACTTCAAATTACTCACGACCTGCTTCAAGAGCAGAAGTTAAACCAGAAATCAGTGTAAACAGATACGCTATATCAAATAGACTTTCCTCAAACTACTTAAGAAGTCCACCAACGGTAAAACGTACCTCCGTATCTCCAGTAAATCACACAGAACCTGTTAAAAGTGAGCCAGAAAAGAGTACGCCGCAACAACCTGTAAAAGAAGAAATAAAACCACAAAACGAGTCAGGAAATGAAAATAATGAGGTTTTAAATCCCACTCAGCCGCATCCAGAAGATAATGAAAATGAGACTGAAACAGTTACCATAATAACACGTCATACATCGCCTACTCCACCTGGTTCTTCAGCATACGTTCGAAGCCGACGTGCAGACATGGCTAAAACCATAGAGAAGTCAATAACACGACGTAAAAGGAGACCTGAGATGATTGATAAAGAAATCCAATCAGATAGATTAGATGATCCAACTCGGTCAAGTAGATTTGGTAGCACAGCAAGAACAAGTGTTACAAATTGGTCTTATTACACGCCAAACTCCACTAGTTACACAGGATATGCTGGAAGATACTCTACGCAATATTCAAATCTGAGAGAAAATTCAGGAAGCAATTCCTATTCTGCCAGTGAACGAACCGGTCGAAGTCATAGTACAGAACCAGATAGAAGAGAAAATTCAAACTGCAATTCTTTCGGCGAATACAACAACATAGACAGTAACATGAGTAATCACATAGCTGACAATGATCAAGAGGTTTTATCGGTTTACGCTTCTGAACAAACCAAAGGTGACGATACATCAGAGATTATAATAAATGTAAATCTTAAATTAAAAAGAGCTAAAAGCCCGATAGCTTCTACGGAATTAGTATCACCAGAGATCACAATCACAAATAGTCAATTACCACCTCAAGCACCTAAAACAGAAGGTGGTACAAAGATCAAAAAAGTTAAAGTAAAAAAGACTAGCACAGATTCATCATCAGATTCAAGTGGCAAAAAGAAAATAATTAAGAGAAGAAGTAAATCCGTGAGCTCTACAGATTCAGACCAAGGAAGTGAATTGAGTGATAAAGGGTCACCTCCCAAGAGCTTACAGAAGAATTCGTCTAGTAGCAATTTACAAAACGGACATTCAAAATTGAAACATTCCAAATCAAGGGAAAGTGCTAGCCCTGAGTCGAGCATAACGTTATCAACGCAGTCCTCAATTAGTGAAGATGAGACTGTATCTAAATCAAAAACTAATGAGTTATCTAGAACTTCTGCTGATGAGTTATCAATTCCAACTGACCGTTCAGGCAAACAACTATCACCTGTTTCTCCTCCAAAGAATGAAACCGGAACGGAAGAAGCCAAATCGTTCTTAATACGAGCACTTGCACCTGTCACAAATTTATTTAAGATGAGGCATCAAGAAAGTAGTGATAATAGCCGTTGGTTAGAAAATTCTACTTCAGAATCAACTGGAAAAGATGTATCTAATCTTACGACTGAAAGTGACAGATCTAGTAAAAGTAAAAACGATACAAATAATATAATTGCATCTAATGACGACAATCTAGTTAAACTTAAAGCAATAAGGCCCATAGAATCGGGAGAAAGAGCTTGGTGGTTAGATTCAGAATCGGAAAAGAAAAATAGCTTACAAAATAGCGAAAACCAAAGATCTCCATCAGAGAAGAACATTCCTAGAAAAATTACACACGTTGAATCTGGTGAAAAAGCATGGTGGCTTGATTCTAACAGTGAAAGTAAACACAGTAACCAAGTCCCGCTTAATAATACATCAGAAAGTTCCGATTCTAACAAAATTATCAAGAAATGTAAATTTGCTGATGATGAAAAGCCTTGGTGGTTGGACAGCTGTGCCAATATCCCCGAAGGTATCGAACGACTGAGCCCTCCAAGAAAATCTTCTAGCGATAGTGAAAAAAGTGAGAAATTTAACTTTTTCAAAGTTCGACATATTGAGTCTGGAGATCAGAAGGATTGGTGGGCTACTAGTAATGAAAATTCAACAAATAGCAGTAAACCAGAGCAAAACGTAATGTTGAGTAAATCTGGTTCAGAACGTAGTTTCCCATTAAGACGAATACGGCATATAGAATCAGGAGAGAGGCCTTGGTGGCTGGGTAGTAACAAAAACATTCCAGAAGGTATTGAAAAGTTGCCTACGCCTCCACCACTTGAAGAAAGCGATTCATCTGATTCGGAAGTTCAAGTTTACGTTCCACCTGCACATATACCTCCATTCCCACTTCACTTACCAGACGACGAGCCATTAGGAGCTAGAAGAAGCCCTGAAGGTTTAGAAACACCTAAAGAAAATGAGGACTACCGAGGACGCGCATCGCCTTACGAAAATAATCGTCAATTTAGGAGGCCTTCAAACTCTTTCCAGAAAGGTGTAAATAAATATATTTCACGCTACACAGATATAGATGATATCCTTGGAACTTCTGGTCAAATATACAGTCCTTTTATGGACTCAATACTAGCTAGGAGAACCGGACAGCTTCCATTTGACGACGACGCGTGTGAAGAAATAGATCCAACGCAAGTCAGAATCCATGATAGTACGGCGCAGCGACCTGTTATTAAGAAGATTCGTTCCAGGTAAGGCATTTTAATACATTTAAATGATGCTATTTCTGTAGTTGGATGCAAAAACTGATATGTTAAGCCCCGGCCTTGATAAACATCGAGCTGTGATGAAAAACTTGACTTTTTACATACGTGTATTTTAACACACAATATTTATTTGAACAGCAAATATGATACACACTAGTTCCTTCGGTGATCTTACGAATCACATGCAAATCAGTTTAGCATCCATACAAAGGCTAAATAGTTCCTTGTTGAGAAAGCGATTACAAGCGCAACTGTCGTGCAAGTAGGCTTTGTTTTCCGCAAAAGCGTTTATTTGGGAAAATAAGGAAACGTATTAATGTTGTGAGGATACAAGCCACGAACAAATTCTTACCCAGACAAAATACTTTCTATCTATGGTGCTGCACGAAAACAGCGTTAACAACTTTCACGTAACTTACTGCAAACTCCTTATACTATTAGACTATTCAAGAATCGCGCCCAGAAAATATAATTATCATCATTTTAATTAACTTTTTGTCAGATTTCGCTAAATGTGGAAATACATAACCCAATTTCGACCACTTGAGTAAAGGGTCTTGATGAATCAGCCGTTAATTAGTACTTTAGCTGGTACAACAACCCAAACCAAATATATGAAATGGGATGCCTTCGAATGTTGACTTATCAACGCTAAATTCAAGCCAGATATCAAATCTAAATGCTTAACAGTCGTCACAATCGATGCACTAATAGCTACATCGAAACTAATTTTACTTTTCTGATCTGTTTCAGAAGCAATATCATCGATTATCGAGAGGAGGAACAAGTAAGTTTTATACCTCAATATCTTTATAATTATGATTTCATTAACTACTAGTCTGGCAACACCAGCCAATGTGTCAACAATACTCTGCTGTGTTTTATTTTAAATTAAATTATTTTTTTATGTTTAGGCGCGAAATAGTAAAGTTAATACACTTGACCAGTAGTGCAAAAACTTTGGTAAAGTTATGACAGTGGACAATTACGTCTTTAAGTACATAGTAACAGTGTTTGTGGAGTACAAAGGAACTTTGTGTATACTGAGAACTAAGGATAATTACGGTAAATACTACATAATAAATAAATATATTATAACATAAATAGTGTTTGCAGTGACGTTTTAATAATCAAAAGTGTTAAAAAGGGAAAATAACATAATAAAGTCAGTTATAAATTCGAACAGTGCAAAATTTCTAATGTAAACATTAACCAGCTGATTCATCAGTCAAGCAATCACCAATCACAAGACAGCATTAACATTTTGACGCTAAAATATTCGTTCGGAAACTGTCAATAAAAACTTTTTGTTGTTTGAACACTGGTCTTTTGAGAGACGTTTCTTTTCGCTCAGAAAAATAATATTAAAATATAATTAATAAAGTTTCCGGAAAAATTTCATCACTTTACATTAATAACTTCGCACCAGAGGGCGCCACCGGTCGCTAGAAGTAAAGATGGACACCAGCAATAACAACATTACCTACCGCAAACCTGGCAGGTCAAACTCGCTTACTGACCTGACTAACAACAGCAGCAAAACGATACTTGACACAACTATGATGAGCATTCCAGACAGCTTCCATGACACAATTGACGATATTCGTGAGTTAACCGAAGAAAACAAAATTCTCAAGAACCAGTTATTAAGCGCACATAAGGAAATAGAAGACCTCAATGTGGAGAACTCTCGTCTTCGTACAGAACTACAAAATATGACTAAGACGGTCAACACTTTTAAGAAAATATGTTCAACTCCTGAAAAAAAATGTGCGACTCCGATACGTACATATAAATCTCTGCAACGAATTAACTCTCCACATGTACATCATACACATTATAATGAGAGTGTGACTAACAAACGAAAACAGAATAAAGAAACTCAAACCTTAGTTACATATACACCAAATAAAGTGAAAGACAATATGCCTACCAATAAAGAATTACCATCAAACGTAGTGACGAACCCGATGCAAATGAATAAGCAACAGATTAAGAAAATTATAAGAGAGGATACTAAAACTAGAAAACTTTGCGTACTCAGCAATAATACCCAAACAGGCATGCTACAAGCTATTGAAGAAAATTTTGCAACGGTATTTGATTATTGTAGTTATACTTCACCGAATTCAAATCTTAAAGTGTTATTAGCGAGCATACCATCAAAGATAAAACATTTTACAATGACTGATTACTGTATAATCGTGTTAGGGGAGACTGACATTAGAGCCAACGATAACTTTATTGACTTAGTAAAATTAATAAGAGAAAGTTTAATAAATGTTACACACACTAACATAATAATATGCGTACCCACATATGTTTGTGGAGCACCCATATATAATTATAAGATTGAATTGTTTAATAACCTTCTCTGTTTGGATATCCAAAATAATAAGTATGCGTATTTTTTTGACTCCAACCATGGATTAACACTTGACATGTTTTCGAACGCATCAGGCAGATTAAATAAAAATGGAATAAAATGCATATTTAGAGACATTATGAATAGAATTAAAATTGACATTGAATTATTTCCTGATGATTTGACCAGTGAAGCGAATGCGCAAAATCCACAGTTTTTTCTTCTATAATAATATACGTATACTCCACCAAAATATAGCAGGTCTCGTAAACAAATCTGATATTTTGACGGTACATTTAGAGGAATTAGCACAAAATGATAAACCCATTGACATTATCTGTATAACTGAACACTTTATGACCACCGATCAGGAAAACACACTTGACATACCAAATTTTCGTCTAGCAGCAAGTTATTCTAGAGACGTCAAAAGGGGAGGGGCATGTATACTTACTAGAATTGGACAGGAATACATTTCACTTGACACTAATCATTGTTCGATTAAAGGCATCGTAGAATGTAGCGCCATAGAACTAATTGATCATGAACTCATAATAGTCTGTATATACAGAGTACCAAATTCATGTATAGATATATTTTACGATAATTTAGAGAAACTATTACGCCAGATATGTGACAATTCTAACAAGAAAATTGTTCTTTGCGGAGACTTTAACATAAATATACTC